GCCTATAGAGGGAACATGATAAGGGCCCCACACATCCGAATGAATAACATCAAAGGGAGAAGAACATCTTTTATTACTAGGTTTAAAAGAGTGTCTACAATGCTTTCCAAGTTCACAACCCTCACACTTCAAACTTGACAGACTCACAGACTCAAACAATTTAGGAAACAAACAACTCAAAGAAGAAAAGGATAAATGACCCAGACGGTTGTACTAAAGCATAATCTGACCCACAGATTTTGACTCACTATCTTTGCAAACATGATGGCTTTGGTGAAGAGGGAGAGCATCCAGGAGGTAGATTTCATTCACTTCACGACCACTCCCAATCGTCCTCTTTGAATCCAGATCCTACAAAATACAGCGTCCAGGAGAAAAAATCATTGAGCAGTTCAGATTCTTAGTCAAACTACTAACAGATAACAAATTAGTGCTCAATCTAGGAACATGGAGGACAGAGGGTAAGCAAATAGAATCATTAATCTTGACAGATCCCTTCCCAGCAATAGGAACATGGGATCCATCAGCTGTGGAGACCCTATCTCTGTCAGAACAGAACTGATAAGAGGAGAAAATAGTGGAGCAATGGGTCATATGCTCTGAGGCTCCAAAGTCTATAATCCAAGAAGATCTCTCCTTACCTGAAGCAGAAACATAGTTTGCAGTGACATGTGAACTACCTGTGTGGGCAAAGGAGTTAGAGTGAGCTCCACCTGTGCTACCTGTACCTTGTACCTTGTTGTCCGCTTACGGCTGAACTGGAACTAGCTGTATCCCTCTGATTCAGAAGTAACCCAAACCTCTCAAGCTCGGTCCTTACTACAATAACTGCAACGGACTCCAAAGCAGCTGTAGTAGGGGGGGGGAGAAGTATCACCGGTAACTGCCATGTGTGCATTTCCTTTCTTATTCTTCAATCTGGTCGGYACAAGAWGTRGRTGAAGCTTCCAACAAGTGTCTCTTGTATGCTTAGGCTTCTTRCAGTAGTCACAGACCAAGTYCCTTTTGTCTTCCTTTTTGTTTTCATTGCCATTCTGTTTAGATTTCACAGCACTTACCATAGCAGACTGATCAGAACTGAGATTTTTCATCATTACATCCCTCTTGCACTCCTCTCCTTCCTAGGAGAGAGTGACACTGTCCCTAGAAAGAAGATGTTGTCGTGCAATGTCATACTCGGGGTCAAGGCCAGCAAGGAATTCGAACACCCTATACTTCTCTAAATGTCTTTGATAGGTAGCTGCATCCTTGGTGGTTTCCCAAGCAAAGGTCTCTAGATGGTCGATCTCCTGCCACAAGGTCTTAAGGACTGAAAAATAGGTTGCAATAG